AACGTCCTCAGAAGTCCTAATGCAACGGAACCTCCTTCCGGTCATCATATGGGACGTACGTATCCCTGAAGTCCTAATGCAACGGAACCTCCTTCCAGTCATTATATGGGACATACGTCGTAAAGGACTTTAGGCCCAGCAGGAACCAAGAGTCAACTCATGGGGAGGAACGTCCCCAGAAGTGCCAATTAAGTATTTGAAAGCCCATTACTAACATACGAGCCCAAACAGTAGTATGATTAATCACGCATTAAGTAAAACATTAATCGTTTTACAATGGTTCAATAATAGGGAAATCCAATACATAAACTTCACTATTTAAATTGAAATTTCTAGAACGTTCGGGGGCGGTGTCACAATTTGTCCACTAACCAACACGTCTTCAGCCATCCCCTGGGGTATTTGACTGAGCAGACAACCAATTGAATGCACATGCATGTTGATTTAAGTGAACCAAATGCAAGCTTCTCATACAAAGCAGAAAGCATCAAAATAATGTTTGCACCCAAATCAGCTAAGGCTCTATCAAAATTCAGATCTCTCATAAGACATGGAATAGTAAATGAACTTGGATCCTTAAGTTTCTTTGGTATATCCTTCCTGACCACAACTGAGCACTCCTTGTTCAGCATCATCGTAGATGTTTCCTCTAATTTTTTTTTGTTTGTGAGAACATATTTCATAAACTTGGCATACTTTGGCATTTGTGACATCGCATCCACGAATGGTAAGTTAATATGAACTTGTTTCATCAGGTTCAAAAACTTACCAAATTGATCACTGTAACTCTTACTCTTCAAACATGCCAGAAAGGGGAGAGGTGGCCAGTACGCTTTGACTCGATCTGACTGTTTTGGGGTTGCCTCCACCTCTCTCTTTTCTTCTTCCTCTTTCTTTTCCTCTAGGATATCTTCTTCAACTTCAACTTCTTCTGGTTTCTTCTTTGTTGCAGCAGCTTCAAGTTCTTTTCCACTCCTCAAGGTGACTTCCTGAACGTGTTCTCATGGGTTACTTTCTATGTTGTTGGGGAGGGATCCCTTAGGCCTCTAAGATTGGGCATTTGCAAGATGAACCATTTGATTCCTTAGGTTCTGAAAACTTGATGCATCTGTTGGTATGAACTTCCTGAGTGTATCTTCCCTTTCAGAGATCTTCTGTTATATCCCTTTCCTTTGACCCCCTTGACCTTGTTGAGGTACTTAAGGTGGGGCTTGAGGTACTTGGGGCTGCCCAGATTATAGTTATTCCCCCATTAGTAGTTTCCCTTCCCGTAATTCCCCCACTGGTGCTGATTGTAGGACAGGTTGTAATAGCTCTGTCTCTAAAAATTAATAGCATATATTTACTCCACTCTAGGGGTTGCCAAGGTGGTAGTCATCATAGTGCATTCATTTGGGTGCTTTCATATTCACGTTAGGACCGAAGGAGCAGTTTGTAACTGCTTTTATGGATCCTCCATGCTGGTTGCCAGCTTCTACACCATGCTAGTCAAAGTATATATCCACTCGTGCATTCAGGGTCAAACTCTCATTGATCTCGTAAAATCCTGGAGCTTTTTGTTGGGATGAACTCCTTGAATTGTACCAGGATGCATCATTTGTCACTACTTTCTCTATCAGAGCTTCTGCATCTTCAACTTGCAGATCAGGAAAAGATCCACTTGCAGAATCATCTAGCATCATATTCCATTTCTCATTAAAGCCACTGTAGAAATAGGAGATGATCTCACAGTTACTCATCTGGCCCTGGGGCAAGATCTTCTAAGCACCTTGAATCTCTTCCATGCTTCAGACAGAAATTCCAATGATCCTTGCTTGAACTCTTGCACCTGCTTGTTCAATTTCAATGCCTTAGATGTCGGGATATATTATTCGATGAAGGCATTGTGTAGCTGGTCTCAAGTTTGTAGATGGTGGTGTGGATTTATATCTAGAAATCTTTGTGCATCATCTCTCAGTGCAAACGAGAAAAACATCATCCTCATTTGGTCATCAGCCACCACAGGAATTTGAAAGTCTGATACATCCTCAGGAAAAGAGTGATATGTGCCAGGGGTCTTGTGTTGGTCCTCCTTCAAATTGGTTGTTAGAAACCATGACAATCACCATCGGTTTGATCGATCTCGATCTCGTAACGGTTAGTAGTAGTTCCTGGCACCTGAATGCTATCATACACTCAAGTTCTGGGGTGAGGTGCTCTCCTATCGTCTGCCCATGAACTAGGGGATTCTCGTGCGAGATGTAGCCTTGAAACGGAGGGTCCTATTGCCTTACTTGTTAGGCTGGTCTTGGTTGCACAGAAGGTCTCCAGTGCTGATTTTGGAAAGGATTTTGAAAAGGTGACTGATTTTGGAATGGATTTTGAACGTTCTGGCCAACTCCTTGTAACGGGACTGTTTGGAGTTGAATTGCTATTTCAGGATTATTAGTGGTCACAAAGAGTTGGTACAGAGGAGGTGAAGTGCAGGCTGGAAATTGGAAATTGGAAATTTTGTGGGTTATAAAAAGGGCGTGTTTGAGCAAATCCAGGAGGTCGATTCCCTTGTGAATTTGGTGGAGAACATTGGGGAGACGTATGAAGATAGAAATCTCCATTACCAGGTTGGGTTGATTGGATAAAGGGTGTTTGGGTGATAGGTACGCTAGATGACCCAGTTGTTCCACATGCAAATTGGTCCATTGTTGCTCTATGTTCTCATTGAGCTTTTCTGTTATCTCTTGCGAACTTCTTAATCTCAAGATTAAGTGGGATTAATGGTTCTCTCCTCTTAGAACATGTATGCACAAAAATAAAACTTGCACGGTTAGAAATAGAAGAAATTCTACTTATGATCCTTCGAGTTTTGCACCAATTCCACAATTAGTCCTCGTCTTTCATTTTATCCATTTTTGGTACATGATTATTGTTTTCTTGACCATATATAGTCCTTTTCCGATAGTAAAAATGCTCAGAAATGGACCACAAATGGTCAAGAAAACAATAGTAAGGTACCAAAAATGGATAAAGTGAAAGACGAGGACTAAATATGGAAATGACACAAAACTCGGAGGACCTAAAGTGGAATTAATTATTAGAAATACATACTACTTCGTAATATATAAGGAGCAATTTTTTTTGAGAGTTTTGTGCGGAATCCAATATTACCTACTTCCTCCGTTTCTTTTTAATTGCGACACTTCCCTTTTTTGGAAGTTTCAAAATAATTGTAACACTTCCATTTATGGTAAAAAATAATAATTACAAATACTACAATACCCGCACATATAATTCAATCTTCCACGGTCCACCTCACACCCTACCTCATGTATTTTACATGTTTTAGTTCTTGAGTTCTTCTCCATTTCTTTGGGTTCTTTTCCACCACCTTCATCTGCGTTTATGTCTTTTATTTTCACTCACCTCGGCACCGGAAAAACAGGGGACAACTCTAATTTCAGAGTCACCGCTGACGTTCCATAATTAACCAGACACTTCAGATTTCGACAGCCTCGATGGCTCGCCCTTTAATTCTAAGGACATTGTTTCTAGGTTTTCCAATTCCTTACTGAGGTGCTTCTCTCGCTTTGAGAAGTCGGTTACATATGACTTTGAAATTTTTTGATTCATGTGATGTGATGTGACTAAGTGATACTGTTGGCCGTCACACGCCTACCACTGCACCCTCCTCCTTTATCCTGGCTTAGGACAGGCATGATACCGAAAAATTATCTTATGGCGGAGTTAGATGACTTTGAAATTTTATTTAACGAAAATTATAGAGTTATACTACGTAGTTGATTGGAGTTCACTCCTTCACTCCGTCACCAAATTTACAGAAGTTCAGAAAATTGCAAAGCAAGAAAGATATTAAGAGCCCATTTGGTAGTCCGGTTTTTTCAGCTTTTCAAGCTTATCAACCAACTTTTTCATCAAACACATAAATTTTGATTTCGAACGTTGGATTGTGAAATAATAAGAACAAGTAAGGTTGTAGTTACTTTTCTGACTGTATTGGCTGAAATTGCTGTAGAGGACCGTTTTAGCTCATTTTTCATATAATTTTTTATTTACTTTATTAATAAAAAATATTTTAAATATAATTTTTTCATAAATCAACAGAATCAGCTAATCCAGTCACTTCAGCCAGAACTTCATAAATTTCAACCGAATTAGTTGATTCAGTTGATTTAGGTAGAGGTGATGACCCTCGTGGGTTGTATCTTGCAAATAAAACCGAGATAGTATATAAGTTAAGGGTGTGCATATTGGTTTGGTTTAACCAATACTAACCGAATCAAATCGAACTAAACTGAACCAAAACCGAACCAAATCGAATATGTAATTTGGTTTGAGTTTGGTGATATTTCTTCCAAACCCTATTAAACCGAATCGAAATCGATAACAACCGAACAAAACTGAACCGAACTAAAGAAATTCAATGAAAGCTTCATATATTATTAAAAATAATCATAAATTCAAACCGAACCGAACTAAATTGAACTGAACCGAACCAAACAATAATATTACCTTTGTTCCAAAATGTTTAGATATTTTTAAACCTTTGACCAACCATATATATTTATTGGGAACTATTTATAAATATAAAAATGATATGAAAATGTACTTTGTTAAAAGTAATTTAATAAAAGTATAAAATTTATAATTTTCATGGTCCAAATTTTAAGATTTGACTAAGTATTTAGGACACCTTATATTATACGGAGTATAAGGTGTCCTCTTAAAACAACTTTTCAATCGCCTTTATCCACTTTGACAATCTATTTATTATTTATACTCAGTACTTTAAAATCTTCTAACCAAATCCCTCCCTCCAAACAGACCCTAACAAATTTTGCGGTGAGACCGTAAGATACCCTATAAACAAATGCTCTCATTCCGGAATCCATAATAGTCTGCTGAGAAATGACGCAAAGGATCATAGGTGCATATATCAAACAATTAGCGTAAGAATCATATATATGGGCCACTTAAATTATTTGTATATTGGCAACTTGCATGACCAAAGATTAACCTCAAACGTAACTCCTTCCACAGCACTTTGATGCTATAAATTAAAGAAACTTCCATATTCATTCTACCCTTAGCTTAACCACACCCAACCCATAATATATACATCCAAACTAAAAATGATGTCTTGGAGCTTCAAGGGGCTCTTCCCCAAAAAGAAGCTGCTGAAGCTCTTCTCCACCACCATCCCCTTCAAGCTTCGCAGCCTCAACAGATCCAAAGTCATCAAGAAGCCGAATAAGGCCTCTTTGTTCGACAAAACTACCAAGAGAGGTGGTTCAGACTGGAAAAAGAAAACCCGGGGAAAGCGCAACAAGTTCATCTGGTTCTTACCCATTGGCAAAAGACCCAAATTTCTCAAGAAGCGGCCCGTGCCCGTTTATATCGACCAGCTATTTGTAGGCCCCGGGCCTTCTCGGCTTACGGAACCGACGAAATCCGTGACAAAGTTCAAGGAAGCCGAGGTCGTGGCTCCCGATCAAGAAACATGCATGGCTGTTGCTTCTAGTAGTAGCATCATGCACTACTATGTTGACGACAAAGCAGGGGAGGATCTACGTATGAGCTATGGTGGGCTAAAGCTCAGGGTAACTCATTTTTTTTTGTAATTTTTTTATTTTTCATATTTAACCCACGCTGCTAATGTTTAATTCTAGTATAATTGCTCTTCGGTCCAGGACATCCCAAATTCCTTGATCCGTCCCTGCGACGGACCGGGCGAGGCCGATGATATGTGGGAAGCTGTTGTACTGGCAGAACCGGAGATGCACAGAATTGATGAAAGAGCAGAGGAGTTCATATCCAGATTCCATGCCGAGATTAAGCGCCAGAAGACTTCTGAGAAGCACTTGTAGCTGTTATTTGATCTCCTACCAACAGGACTTAATATAGGACGGTGGACGGTTTATATTGTTTGCCACTTTTTATTGCAAAATGTAATTCTCTTTCGAATTCATTTTTTACTAACCACGTCAACTTTCAAATATTATCCTCTTCCATCATGGTTGTACGAGATTTTGGCACAAATATTACTCGGAAATCAGAAATGTATGATTAATATTGAACTTGTAAAACCAAGTGTGATTGTAAGAAATGATGATGCCATCATGCCTATGGAATTTCAGAAACTAATTACTACACTTCGAATGCAAACCACACGCAACAATATATTCGACTATAATTTTATGTCTAAAATATGGACTCGTTTGATACTTTACATGTTAAATTTTTGCATTCGAAATGATTGCATGCAAAATTTATGAAAACAATCACTTTGCAAATAAAATAAATTACATTATTTGACTAAATATGTAATTTAATTTTAAATTACACACATAGACACTGTGATAAGCATGGACTCGGGCCGGGCCTAACCGGACTATTTTTTGGTTTCTGAAGGCCCGGAACCGGCCCGGATAGCTACCGAATATGGGTCAGGCTCGGGCCGGGCCGGTTGACCCGATTTTTTTTTAATTTTCTAATTACATCCTACCCCCCAAACCCCTCCAAAACACCCAGCCAAGCCCAACCCATTTACCTCCCAAAGATTGTGAAAAATAGAAAAAAAATTGATCTGAACCCGACCCGACCCAGAAGGGCCGGTTCACTTTCTAGAGACCCGGAGCCCACTCCGAAAACTGGCGGTTCGGGTATAATGCACCCGGTCCGGACCGGGCCGAAACAGTACGTCATTACAAGACCGGGCCAGTTACGGGCCGATTGACCCGGCCCGAGTCCACCCATACATTGTGGTGCTTCATAAAAAGTACGCAAGATATTTTACCACTATCCACCGCCACATAAAATACTTTAGGTGTTTATGTCAAGTAATCAAACCAAACAATTTAATCCTTTTAAGACTTGCACTTCGCATGCGTACGGCATGTAATCACTTTGCATTTAAAATTTAACCCGCAATCGTCCAATTAGGTGGACCCAATGTGGCCCGAATTCCTTGAGATGATGGGGCCACAATCATAACAAGTACACCAATTTCAGGTTGGGTCCAGAACCATTCTCCAAATTCAGCTCGACTAAATAACCAATTGGTCTCAGTCCGGTTTTGGAACCGGGTCCACCTCTTCGATCAAACTAGAAAGAGTCTAACACTCTCCTGGTATTCATCAAAACAGAGTCTATCTTGAAGACAGCCGAACATTTTTATGTAGTACTCAACAATTATGCGTCATATATACGTACAGACGTGCAAGTTTCAAGTTTACTGCTAGAACTTGAGAAGACAAGTTTCTTCTTAGAGCGCTCAAATCGAGCTTGTATGCTCTTTATATTTTACTTTAACAATTTCAAGCGTTTCTAGACAGTGCCACTAAGCATTACAATCATACAGCAGAAGATCATCATCAACTTCAAACTCAAATCTCAGTCAAGAAATTCCTTCATAGGATAGTTAACTTCAAACACAAATCTCAGTGAAGAAATTCCTTCATAGGATCATCATGATGGACCCTCTTCATCCTGTAAGCCTCCATATCTTCAGGTGTGACCTGAAATTAAAATTACATGAACATTCAAGATTTACCATTATGAAGAAAATAAAGAGTGGATGCAAATGTCGTATTAATTAAGAAAGCAGCACACCTCATCATTATACTTCACATTGTATTTCCTTTTCCTTTCATCCTTAATGATGTCTCTTTTCCTTTCATCCTCCTGTTTATACAAATTAAAGTATGCATTGAATGTGCATTAAAATTCAGAATTAGGGAAATTGAACAAATGTATAAAAAACTTAGAGCCAGTTCGGTGAAGAGGGTTATATTCAAATTATATGGCCAAATCTACTCAATTTTGTTAAAAGGAAAACCGTTTGGAAAGATCCTACTTCAGACAAATAAGTGAACTCAAAGAGAGAATAAACAATGTTGACACCTACAGAGGTCATTACTGCAGAAAGAAATCCAACTGAAGAGTGAATAACCGATGTATAGAAAGCAGTAGAAACAGATGTGGGAGCATAATATGGTTCATCAACCAAATAACATTAAAAAGAAAAATAATTAAAATAAGACTGACCTTTTTAAGAGCTTCTGCCAATTTTTTGTCATCAAGAACCAGATCATCTGGCACTTCAGTACCCCATGTAGCAAGCTTCTTTTGTTCAGTTGGTGTTTCGGTATCTGAATTAATCATCATTATCAGTTAGATGACAAAAAGTCATGGGAAAATGTTTGTTAGATATACACAGAGAAGTAATTCAAATAGAAAATGACAACTGACCTTCTGCAGCTTCTTTGCGGGCTATATTGGCCTTCATTAAATCACCAGCAGCTTCAGCTGCTTCAATTCCAGCAGTTCCTGTACAGTAACTGTTTCGAATTGTCTGTTTGCAGCACTTATAACCCCATTGATGGTCCTTCCACCAGGAACCCCAGACACTAGTGTGATTATTTATGTAAACATCCTCTTCATATTTGCTCCTTGGAAGTGACATCTCCTGCGAGACAAAAACAATAGTTATATCATTTTAGAACTAAAAGAGATTACACTCTCAAAGAAACATTGGAATATTTAAATTCACTCCATTCCTTACAAAAATCTTTTTATATAAATTACCTGTCCTTTAACGATCCTGCCAGCTCGGTCATATTCAACTTCCTTCTCACTTTGACCCAATAGAAGTTCTCTTGGCAGCATTTCCTCACTAGCTGCATTGCCATATTTCTCCATGATGGTATCCTTGGTTTGGAACTCCATTTTCTCTTTATTGATCTTATAATTTTTATAAAGTAATTCTGCTTGTGATGGAGCTGCTTGCATGTGGATGTCATGACCCTTCTCAAATGATTCCCAAGCATGAATATTGAGTTGCTTGAACTCAAGAGCTTGACCACTCAGTCTGTTTTGGTTATCCCCCTACTCACACAACCAGTCCAGAAATCAATTTTCAAATACAAGAACCTGTGTACACACATAGATGCATGCACACACATATACGTATACATGGCGGGGAGCGGAATAAACATCAAAGAATTATGGTGATTCTATGATCCATGTAATGGTACGCATTTAAACTTTAGTTATAAAAAGTACACGTTCAAGGAGTGGTACCCCTTGAAACCTTTAAAACAACACATGCACACGGTATAAAGGAAACGGGTGATGAAGTGAAAAAGAAAACATACAGCATAGAACTTCTCATTTGGATCCATATCAGGAAGTGGATCTTCACGCATGGATCGGGTTTTGGGGTCATAGTGAGCGGAATTGACATCAAGGTTAAGAAGATATTTGGCTGTATCTTCTCGGATACGTAGATTTCTGGCAAAAAAGGATGAGGTTTGAAATGCTCAGTATATTAGAGAAGATGCACATAAGGCAGGGATAAACAGAAACAGGGCTCACCTAACAGTCCCAGTACTACCACCACCTGTAGTTCGCACACGCTTCTCAACCTTTGCGAAATCCATCTGCTTACTTTCATCGACCTTGGTTTCATCTACCTTCAAAGCATCTTCCAAATCCTCATCATCACTTGCATCACCTTCTTTGTTTTCATTATTATTTTTCTCCTCCAATTTTTTAAGCTGTTGTTCCTTCATATATTTCCTTCTAGCTTCATCCCTGGCTTCATACCTTTCAATAACATGGACAAAGGACGCAGCATCAAACCCATTCCAGCGGTCCCTTTTACCATCGTAGTCTAGCTCAAAGTTCTCTATTTTCTCATCGGGTGCAATACTTTTCCCTGTCCACTTTGCTCCTAACTTACGAGGCCTTTCCATACACGATTTTACAGTGTGCGTCATTGCTCCACAACTGCAGCATGTTTAGTTAAAATTAGCCATGACTGTAAGTTTTATGCTAACACTGCAGACAGGTATAACAGCGATCCAAATAAGCAAATCCAGCAACCATAGTTGTCATGGCGCATGGCGCAACCCATGGCGCACAGGCCATTTTCCATGGCGATGGCGATGGCGCAAATATGGCGTCGCCACGTGACAAAAAAAACTTCAAAACGAATAATAGATACTGCAATTCATCAACCCAAGTTTACCCAACCACCAAAACATGATAAAATAGTTCAAAGTACTTCCAAAAAACATAATATTCAAAAAAAAGTTTCTGTCTTGCAAAAATAGTAGTTAGGGTTTATGTTAGTTGTGTTTATTTATTTGTAGTTAGGGTTGTTGTTAGTATTATGAGCTAAAATAGTAAGGTTTTGTTAGTGTTTTTTTTGTTAGGGTTTATGTGTGTGTGTGATAGGGTGCTGAAATATCAGAGGCGCAAGAAACGAGGAACAATCGTTGACTGAGTCTTCATTTACTTATTAATTATTGTTTATTTGTTTAAATGAATCAGTTAGAGAAATAAGTGGGGTTTGGTGTCATGCATCAGTCCACTAGGTAGTTATTAGATCATGGATCACTAGGTAGTTATTAGATCATGGATCACTAGGTAGTTATTAGATCATGGATGGAGTCAGTTTACGACAGTTATTAGTCGGTTATTAGTCAGTTGTATTTCTTTCTCTATAAATAGCCTAGCCATATTCAAGCTAGGGGGCATGAATGAATATTATTTCCGATTTCCAGAGATTCTCTTGGCTTCTATACCTTTCTTGAGTGAGATTCTTACTTTGAGAGGGAATAGGAGAGTTATTTCTGAAATTCCTGTTTTATGTTTGTTTGATAGCTTCTGGGATCTATCAATTTGGTATCAGAGCAGGTTTTTATCCATCCATGGTGACCACACGTTCATCAGAGGCAACCCGCAATCCAGAGGAAAATCCATTTTCTGCCGATCCTCTGGCCACCATTGCAGCAAAACTGGAGACACTTGACGAGTTAAAGGAAAAAGTGATAGCCTTGGAGATTCAAGCCTCCAAATCCAACCGAGGGAAAGGGAAGACGAGACAGTGGGGCGATGATACTGAAGAAGAATCTGATTCGCACCGCCCGCGACCACCACAAGCGAAAATTGAATTCCCGAAATTCCAAGGAGGTGACCCGCGTGGGTGGATTCTTAAGCCTGAGAAGTTCTTCCGTTATTACGAAACACCAGAAGATGACAAGGTGGACATAGCTTCAATGTATCTGGAAGGAGATGCTCTGGATCTGTTCTCGTGGATGAATACGGAAAGGACTTTGCTTTACTGGGAAGAATTGGTGAAAGCTCGGGAGGAACATTATGGGCCTCCAGAGTACTTGAACCCAGATGAGCACTTGTGCAACATTAAGCAAACAGGTTCTGTAGCGGATTACCGGCAAGAATGGGCACGAAGGATTGCACGAGTAACCAACTGGCCAGAGCACTGCTTGCTTGGAGTATTCCTGAATGGTCTTAGAGAAGAAATCAGATCAGACGTCAGAATTCATAAACCAAGGTCAGTTTATCGGGCTGCTAGTTTAGCATTAGAATTTGAGAAAAAGCTAGCCCAAATGAAGGGGTACAAGCCCAATTCGTACGCTTGTCAGAGTCAGCCCACCTCCAATACTAATCCCATTATTACAGCACGTGACCACAGAGTGACACCGGGAAATTCAAGTACGCCTTCTTCTTCGACGAACCCAAACAGAATCACAAATTTACTTCCATCCGCAGCACGCTCGTGGGAAGAAACGAAACAACAACGGCGCGACAAGGGGTTGTGTTTCCGCTGTGGGGACCCATTCCGACCAGGCCATCGTTGTTCTACTACGTTTTCGTTGCTGGAAGTTGTAGAAGACAAGAATTCAATGCCAAACTCTTCAGAATTAGCCGAAGGCACAGAACAGGAACCAGGAGTAGATGCAGAGATTTCTTTTAACGCCATCCTGGGCAGTCCAACAACAACAACAATGCAACTGCGTGGCTTATTGGCTAACAAAGAAGTATTGTTGTTAGTAGATAGTGGCTCAACTCACAATTTCATATCAGATTCACTGGTAAGGGAACTTGACTTGGCCACCTCCTCTACTCAGACAATTGGGGTTCAGCTTGGTGACGGTCATGTGGTGCATTGCAACTGTGTGTGCAAGGAAATTTCAGTACAACTTCCAGGTTTGACCATCACCCAAGATTTTTACCCATTTCCCCTTGTGGATTCTGATATTGTACTGGGAATTAAATGGCTTGCATCACTCAATACCATCCAATCTAATTGGAATGAGATGTTCCTCATCTTCTGGGTGAATGGGAAGAAATATAAGTTACAGGGAATATCAAAGAAAGAGCATCAGCCTGCAAGGTTTAATCTTATGACCACAGTGGAGTCTGCATTTAGTACACCTGGACCTGACTCACTTAATGCGGAAAGGGTGTACATGGAACCTGAAGCTGTATTTGCAGAACCAGCCGTCATGCCTCCATTCAAAGATCATTCCCATGCCATTCCTCTGATCCCAGGAGCTCAACCTCCCAGCCTGAGACCATACAGGCACCCATATTCCCAACAGAATGAAATTGAGCGACAAGTAGAGGACCTTCTCCAGAAAGGGTTCATTAGTCCCAACTCCATCCAATTTGCAAGTTCAGTTCTGTTGGGGAAGAAACAAGATAAATTATGGCGTATGTGTGTGGATTATTGGGCCCTCAACAAAATCACAGTTCCCGAAATGACTTCGGGCTGTCAGGGAGGATTCCTTAAAAGTTTGAAACGGCTCTCAGGTACTATTAGATCTCTCATTCAACATTGCTTTGTGTGTCAAAAGAGAAAATATGACGCATTATCACATGCTGGTTTGTTACAACCCATACTTGCACCGCAACAGACTTGGGAAGATTATGAGTTCCTAGTACAACGATTTCCAGAATTTCGCCTTGAGGACAAGTCGGCTTTCAAAGGAGGGGGTAATGATAGGGTGCTGAAATATCAGAGGCGCAAGAAACGAGGAACAATCGTTGACTGAGTCTTCATTTACTTATTAATTATTGTTTATTTGTTTAAATGAATCAGTTAGAGAAATAAGTGGGGTTTGGTGTCATGCATCAGTCCACTAGGTAGTTATTAGATCATGGATCACTAGGTAGTTATTAGATCATGGATCACTAGGTAGTTATTAGATCATGGATGGAGTCAGTTTACGACAGTTATTAGTCGGTTATTAGTCAGTTGTATTTCTTTCTCTATAAATAGCCTAGCCATATTCAAGCTAGGGGGCATGAATGAATATTATTTCCAATTTCCAGAGATTCTCTTGGCTTCTATACCTTTCTTGAGCGAGATTCTTACTTTGAGAGGGAATAGGAGAGTTATTTCTGAAATTCCTGTTTTAAGTTTGTTTGATAGCTTCTGGGATCTATCAGTGTGTATATATATATATGTATAAGTATATATATAAGACTATATATTTATATATATAGCTATATATTTATAACTATATATATAATTCTATATTGTATATAACTTAGTATTGAAACTCACAATTAATGAAAAAAATTGCAAAAGAAACTCACAATTAATAATTGAAAACAAGGTTTATTAATGAGAATTAAAATTAAAAAACTAATCAAAACAAAATGTGAAGTATATCATAGAAGGTTATTTTAAAATAGAAGTATCACAGTTAAAACGCACACACAAAAACAAGGTTACAACAACAAAATTATAAATACACAACTTAATTAATTACAATTTAAAATAAAATAAAAACTGAAGCCAAAGATCAAGGACCTGGGAACTGGGAAGTCTGCAAGTTCCTCTGCTGCTCTGATTCCGCGAGGGACTGAGGGAGGGTGACTATGTGAGTTCGTCTTAGTTGTTTGCTTCCTACGTGCAACTTTGGGCAACGAATGGTCCGTAAGGTAGATTAGTTTGGGCTTAGCTTTTAATTTAAAGCCTGAAACCTTAATTAAATTAGCCCTAATTAAGGCCTAAATCTATTTTATCTGGTTCTGGGCCTGCCACTGCGGTTCGACTTGTGAATAAGTCGAGGATTTCTTCGCCAACATCGAGCCTAGACGACTACTGGACGACGCAAACGCCATGGCGATGGCGCCCAAATGGCGAAGGCGCAGGAATGGCGACGCCATGTGTATACACCTCGCCACAGCCCCTTTTCATAGCGCAGAGGGTTTTTCGCGCCACATGGCGCATGGCGCGCGCGCCATATTGCGCTATCGACTACCATGCCAGCAACGAATAATTACATCAACAGAAAAACACAGTTTGCCAAGAAACTTTTGGAATAACAAAACTAAAATGAAAGAATTCACAGCTGAACTTACTTTTCACATGCTCCTTTTCTGTACTTGTCAGCCTGATATATCTTGGCACCTCTGTCATACCATGATTTGGTATAATTAGGATCAGATTTCCATTTCCTTTGATGCTTCAAGCTCTACAAAACATAAAAACAAATGTATGCATATTATAACCAATATACATAACAATGAGTGCATATATCTATGAGAAAAACTAAGGATATAAGAAAACATACAGGTTTCTCGGCATTGAGATACCAAGGTGCTGAGGACATATACTGTGGAATGTGAGGGTTAATTTCATTTCCATCTTCATCAACCTCAGCTGGAGCAAGCCCAGCCTTTCGTGCTTCTTCCAATTCTAACTGTTTCCTATGGTCCTCCCTAGATTTGAATGCCACTGCGCTTACCCATATATTGTTAATTATTGATACAACATAACAAACAGGTATTAAGAATCATTTATTGGGCTAAACATAGTACCAAAATAAACTATCTGGAAATACGATTGAGATAACAGAATAATCGAAAAACGAAACCGAACTCTACATATTTATACATATAGAAAAAACTGATGTAAAGAAAATAGATTTGAAACAATCAACCCAAAACAGATCCGCACACAGGTCGGTTGGCATCGAGGTACTAGAATGAATAGGAAAAAGCGCACATGCAATAGAATAGATATGGGTAAAAGAAATACCAGATGCAGTAGCCATGATTGCCGATAGATATACGAAACCCTAGCTGAGACGGCGTGAATTGCCGATAGATATACGAGTCCCTAACCGATGGAATTGGGTCGAAAACCCAACGACGTTTTCCCTCTTCAGGAGTGCTACGACTATTTTCTTGCAGTAGCACGCTTCGCCTCGCAAGAGATTGAGGAGTATTGCTTTTCTTCTTCCCCGAGGGAGACTGGTTTCTATTCTAGTCCCTTTAAACTTTGGCACTAATTTGTATTTCTCACTGATCTAATTTGTGCTTCCAGTTATTTTAATCATAAAATTTATTGATGTAGGAAGCAAAGTGGCACGTAGATGACCAAATCTCAACCACACAAATTTTACATTATTAATTCTCGTGTCGATCAAACTTGGCAGAATTTTAAAGGACGAAGGTAGTAAATCTATGAGGCCTTTTGGAAATTTTTGGCCTTATAAATGTCTTTTCCTTATATTTGGTCTTGATTATTGTACAGTAATTTGTTTAGGGAAAAGTTTTGGTTTGGTCCCCCTTTCCTCTTGTAGCTTCCTATATTTTTATAATATTTCTGGTAAATTTTGTCCAGCATTTAGCCTACTAATTTTGGTGGTTGGCTTTTCGGGGTAAAAAAAACTTTGAACACAATATAATCAATAATAATTACCATATGTAATATTTTTGTCTACCGCATTTCAAAGCGTAATAATTATTAGAATTCCTCTAAATAGGAGCAAAAACGTTTTCAAATTCAAAAATAGGAGTATCACATTTTTTATTCCCTAAATAAGAGTAATCTGCTAATATTGGGAAAAAATGTCATGTTTTAAAGCCTAGTAATGCCAAACTTGGCAGAAATTTACTCTTATTCAAGAAAAAAAACATGATACTCCTATTTTGGAATTTCAAAACTTTTTTATTCCTATTTAGGGAATTCTCTCTAATAATTATGAATCATTTTCCAATTTGAAAGACCAAAATATTTAATCTGATATATTTTTTTATAAAAATTAGATTATAAATAAAAATTATCGTCCCGTTTGGTGGCTCCTATTTTTGGCTTATCAATCTCATCAACAATCATCTTCACCAACCACAAAATTTTGATTTTACGCACTGAATTGATTAATAATCAAATAAGTAAGGGTTGAGTTATTTTTCTGGCTAAATTGGATGTCGTTGATGTAGATGACCATTTTATTTTTTTCTTATAACTTTTTTCTTTATTTTAATCATAAAATTTATTTTAAATGTAAATATTTTCATTTAACTCTTGCTTTTGCGAGAATAAGCAGAAAAAGTAAGATTGGAGTTACTTTTCTGACTGTATTGGCTGAAGTTACTGTAGATATCATTTTAGCTATTTTTACATATAACTTTTTCTTTATTTTATTAATAGAATATATTTTAAAAATAACTTTTTATTAAATCAGCAGAATCAGCCAATGCAGTCACTTTAGCCATGACTTTATAAATTTCAGCAGAGACATCCAAATCAGCTGATTTTCGTGCTACCAACGGGCTCTATATCCATATCTATATAAATTGTTATCTATATCTATATCTATATAATAATATAAGGTAATTAAGATAGTAGCACATTACTTTTTCCTCCAATTAGATATTTAATGTTTCATACCCATTAAACATTAAGAATTACATTGATAATTAGTAATTAGTAATAATAAGATTCATAAATAATACTACGTAATATATTATAAAGTAATTGGAATATTCTCAATTCAAAATAATAATAGTAATAATGATGATAATAATAATAATACTCTGTAATAGTGATATATTTAATGATTCATATCTATTAAACAATAAGAGGTACAATAATAATTAGCAATTAGTAATAATAATAATAGTAGTAGTAAATAATAATATATTATGGATTAATTTGAACATTCTCAATTTAAAATAATAATAATAACACCAGTAGTAGTAAATAGCAATAGGCTTGATCAGAAAAGATAAGTAAAATATACATGATAGAGTATATCTAGAGAGAAGTGAGAGCTAGAGAGAGAAGTGCAGTAATATGCTTCAATAGAATGAATTTGTAACCCTGATAACTACCTCCAGTTAGATATGGAAAATACGGGGAAGTATTTATAGGGAAAATACGGGCTGGGCTCCCAAGCCTTGGGCTTGGGAGGCCCATTTACAACTGGACCGCTACTGGGCCGAATACAAAGCCACTAATGGGCTGTACAAATGAGTAAGTGTAAAATCCGGTTCTGTGAGGTCTTCGTGGCCGACGAGGGCGTGGCCGACGCGGGCACGGCCGACGAGGGTGCGGCCGACGAGGGCACCCAGGTTCCTTGGACTCAGGACCATATTCTGAGTTGGCACCTTTTCGGCCGACGGGTCCCTTGGCCGACGAGGGCACCACTCAGTGTCTTGTGCTTTCTGTTCTTATGAGTATGTGGGTCCGGGGGCTCAGACCCATATACTCCATCAGGAGTCCCCCACTCTCTAAGCTGAGGTGTAGACGAAGTGAAGGAGAGTAGATTCCCGTGCTTTGGTGCTTCTGGCCGATGCGGGCACTCCCAGGCCGTTGGCTGTTGCGGCGTTGGCGTTGTTTCCATTTTGGTGATCTTGTTCTGTGCTTGGCCGTTACCTGTTCCCCGATGTGGACGGGGAGGCCGTTGTTTCCTTGGTGTGTTCGTTTGGGGATGATGGGTGTCCTGCTTCGATGGTGGCCGTTGAAGGCGCGTTTTCCCTTTCTTGGACGTTGATGGTTGAGATTTACATTTGGGCCAATGAGGCCGTTGAGGTTGAACCTTGCTTCGAGGACGATGGGCGTCCTTTCACTTGGGTGGCCGATGAGGGTGCTTGCGCACTCTTTTTGGTCGTCGCTGATTGGCTTTCGTGTTCCTGGCCGAAGAGCCCATTATGATTAACTGTTGGCGGAGGACGATGAATGTCCTTGCCTTAGGTGGCCTGTTGGCCGACGAGGCGCCGTTTTGTCCAAAGTACCTAGCCGGAGATGGAGTCACGAAAACCGTGGCGCCGTTGTGATACATGGATGATGTGGCCATGCTTTGTGGTTACCTTTGTGTTTGCATTTTTCCTTTGTCTGTATTATTGAGGCCGATGTAGTCCCCCAGTCCCCCACTGCTTCAGGCCGAAGAGAGTGAGGGGTGAAGGAGTTGCTTGAGTCCTTGGCCGAAGCGGCCTCTCCGTAGTGCCCCTGAATCCTACCCTTATGGCGATTTTCTGGCCAAGGTAACCCTGTGGGAGAACCCTTGTGCGCAGATCGCTTGTAAAGAGTTATCATCAAGGGTCGTTACGGAAAGCCGATGGCTGCGGGTTCTTTGTTCCTTTGGTTCTGTGGCCGTCACGGGCGTTCATGACATTCCTGGCCGTTGTCATCTCCTTATTGTTGGCATTTGTGAACTTGGCAGGCATATAGGCCGTTGTGGGCGCTTGCTGGCACTTGTGAAGCCGGCAAGCATATAGGCCGTTGTGGGCGCTCATTGTCCGTGTGATCCGTAGGCTTTTACTCCGCCGATAAGTTGGTTCACGAGCCCGGCCCATTTCTGAAGGGGTGGCACCTCATCGGCTGCTGGGAAGGTGACCGCTGAGGTGGCCATTGATATGGTGCCACGTGTAGTGACCGTTGGAGATTATCTATAAATACCCCCCCTCCTCCGAAGCGGTTCCTTACTTGCATTCTTGAGATATCGAAGTGCTGCCCGAATTTCTAGAGAGAGAGAGTCTTCAAGGTGTTCTTCGAGTTCTTCATACCTTCAAGGTTAGTTCCTTGACTTGTTCTTCAATTCCTTTGCATACTTTGCTTCCCTGAGCCTTGATCTAGTGTTAGTGGACAAAACGCCTTAGATCCGAAGTAATTCCCCTTAGGCGCGTAATAGTTGTTATGATGAAGAGCTTAGACGAAGAATACTATCCGTACGACGACCAGCCCTCCACCAGGTCCCTCGACTATGAGGTGCTTGAGGAGTTCGAGGAAGAGATAGAGCGTTTAAGTCCTTACAAGTCCGGAGAGCCGGTGGACGACGAAGGTGAGGACGAGGAGTCCGCCTCGTCTTCAAAAGGTGAGGACGCAGGTGCGTCCCGAGTGGTGGACGGGGCGTCCACTTCCGCTGTTATTCCGTGCCCGAGACCGGTGTCTGCCGTGAAGGGAGCAGATAAGCCGAAGAGAGTAAGGAGGCCGAAGAGTGGGCCAGGCGTCTCCTACCTGGATCTCACAAATATTTACCTGATCAAGCCGGAGAGCAGCGCGGCTGATTACTTAGTTGCCCAGATGTACGTGGGGCCGTTCGGGAGGGTTAGGGCACCCAGGCCGACAGACCATGTACTCCATTCGCCACCGGGGTACTTCGGAGTATACCCGATGAGTTTCGCCAAGGGGCTGAGGTTTCCCCTTCATCCCTTCATCACTGAATATCTGGACATGGTGGGACTCCCTCCGGCCTTGCTGACCCCGAACAGCTACTCGTTGATGGTGGGGTTCTTGCTCCGCTGTGAGGAGTTGGGCTACAGGCCGATGACAGCTCTGTTTATGAACCTTTATCTGATCGGTCGAGGAAGCCACAAGAACTGTGCGGCCTATGCTACTCTCCAACAGCTGCCGAAGAAGAGGAGCTTCACGGACTTGCCTTCGTCCATCCATGGGTGGAAGAGCAAGTTCGTTTTTGTATCCCTTGGTGAGAACGGCACTGAATTTCCCTCTCTCGGCCACACCGGGAGGTTCAATCTGCACGACCCGCCGAGGAGTTCGATCTTGGACGCTCATGTGGAGGCGTTCTTGGAAGGGGGCCGAGGAGCGTGAAAGACTACATCACTGAATATAAGATGACCTCCCTCGGCTTCTTTAGGTACTATGTGTATGGCGATAAGGAGGACGATGTCCAACTTTGGCCGAGGATGACCACTACCTTCGAAGAGGCCGACGGCCTGGATTTGGGCATTCCTGCTGAGGCCGATGGTAATATTTTCTCTGGCTTCCTTCCTTTGTTTTTTTTTTCTTTTGCCTTGCCAATCTGTTCATTTTCCTTTGTGTAGGCTTTGTTATGGATCGCCGTTCAATCATGGCCATAGCCAAGGCCAAGGCTGCCGAGGAGTTGGCTGCAAAGGCGGCCGAGGCGGCCAGGTGTGCCGCGGCCGAGGGGGCGGGGCTACTGCTGGTGCGGTCCCGAAGCCTGCCCAGTCCAAGAAGAAGAGGCCTCCCACTGACGGCCAGAAGAAATTGACCGAGGCTGGCCTGAATCTTGCTAAGAAGACGAAGAGGGCACCGTCTCCTTCCCATG